AGCTGCACCCTGATCTAGATTTACCTTTTTGGGTCATTAACCCGGTTCTGAGGCAAGGCTTTCTGGGCTGCAGTGATACGGGCTTCCCTTCCCTGGGCTTCCCTGACACAACAGGCACTTGCACTGCCTGCCCTCTAGTCTTGCCAGGCTGGAGCTGGTTTCTATTGCAGGTAATGTAATTTTGGTAGCAGGTCAGTCAGTTTGTTCCCAAGCTCCTGGAAAGCTTTGGGTGAATGCCAAGCCCCTTGATGACCTCCTGCAAACCGGAGTGATGTCGATATTCCACAAGTCATTTTTGGTCCCTTGATGCTTGGTGTGGCTTCTCCTTGCTCTCCAGGCAGAAGGCTCTGGGCCCTCTCCAGTGTCTGTGGGAGCACCGTGTAAGCAGAGTTCCAGTTTGCCTCGCTGCAGTCACTGGCCTTTAGCAATTGGTGTGTGTGCACGTGAGGTTTCTGTGGTGCTTTCCTTGCCCGCAATGGTTCTTGCCAGTTTCTGGAAACTTTTGTTTCAAAGAGCCTTTTTTTCTGGCAGCATGTTGCCCCATATGCAAACAAATGCACAGCATGTTCTTTGGAGCTGGTGAAAGGCTCGCTAAGTCATTCTGTCTGCAGCTTGAAAGAAGTAGCAAGTGTGTTACAAACATTTCTATGAAGAAGCTTCTGCAAGCTCAGCATAATACTGAGTTCAGAAAGAAAATACGCATTTTGCATTAACTCTTGCACTGCCACTTGCATCAGAGCTTGGGTTTAATACCCTATCTCTGCTTTACTTCAGGGGAGCGGGACGGGGGGGATGAAATTCTGGTTGCTTCTTTGTTGCTACATGCCAAAGCCCTAAGGTGACCTCTCAGCCGGCTCTTCCATGAAAATGAGCAGTGCATTTCCCAGTGTAGGGCTTCACCGTCCTGCTCCATCCCGCGGGATAAAGCACTCCTGGGTCGGAAGCACCTCGTACCTCAAGGTCACTTGGTCTCCTCCAGATTGCGGAGAGGGGAGGACAGCAGATCACTCATCCTGACGCACTAAAAGCTGATAAATTGGAGCCCTGGTTTCCCTGTGCGCAATCCGGGCTCTGGCTGCTTCCGGAGGCGGCCGAGTGCGCCACGAGGGGAAGTTTGTGCCCGACCGAGGTTGCAGCCAGCGGTGCAGGCCTCCCGGCAGGGAGCAAGGAGCACGTTGAGGAGCTGCTTGCAGGGCCCCCCTGGTTGTCCGAGGCTCTCCCACATTCACAGCTGCGTTCAGAGACTGCCAGGAGCTTAGAAACGCGGCCGCCACCGGAGCGGCGGGATGGAGGTGCCTCCCAGGAGCGTGGCTAGGACCCAGGCTGGGACCCTTGCAGGGCTGCACAGTCACATTTCCTGGCAGAGAAGGCAAGCTCGCTCGCCAGCAGGGAAAAACACTCCGGATTTTCAGCCCTTGCGGGGCATGAAACCATTTTTACATGATACTGCTAATGAGAACTGTAGATAAAAAGTAGGAAATTACTAATTAATGCTCAAATTCAGTGTTTGATTCACAGAAAGTGTGCTATTACTAAAAAAAAAAAAAAAAAAAAAAAAAAAGGAGTGCAATTTCAGGCAAAGGGTATTAAAAAAAAAAAAAAAAGTGAAAATGTAATCAATTTTCTACTCATTACTATTCATTACCTGCCAGGTTTCAGACTTCTTGGACCTTTCGTCATCGCCTCAGACATTACAGGCATAAGATGTGCCTGGAAAAGAAAAATTCAAAAGGCTTTCCCCATTGCTTTGTCATTTGTAGCTCTCAGATTTTCCCACTAGATGGTTCTTGTAAACTCTGGCATTTCGCAGCACGCACAAGTGACCACCTAGAACCCCACTGTAACGTTAGCGTTAGCGTCAGGCTTCACTTACACAGAAAACTGTGAGTGGGAAGAGCCAAGTATCATTTTCTCTTTTACTTTACTGTAGTGCTAATAAAGTGATTTCTGCCTCTTCTTCTCATTTCATGAGAAAAAAGCAATTTGGTGAATGTCCTTCAGGTTAGGAAAGCCTGAAGTTTGTTACCAAAGTTTTGGTAACAAAACAAAACAAAAAAAGCATCCCTCCCTATTAAAGTTGTATCTACTAGATTTCTCCCCAATAGATATGTATCTTTACTGTGGATATAAAGTCAGTGAAGGATATTGGGTTGCTCTTCTTAATGTAGGCGTTTTCAGCTGCGTACTCAGAAACATAGCGTGAGTCAGCAGTAAATACTGAAAATGTCTGTAAAAGAGAAGTCGTCAGCATTCCTTAACACATTCAGTAATATTGTACTTCCGTAAAGTTAGCGAAAATACCTGCTTTGTGAAGCGTCAGGGTAGCCTCTGGCTTACAAAATTGCCTATAAAGCTAGAGAAGTAGGAGACATTTTTTAGAAGTTTAGTATGTATTTACACGCAGCAAGCAGATCCTCTTAAATCCATTCTTGGCTTGAATAGAAGTATCTTTTGAATTACAAGTTTAAGAAAAGGGTATCCCCGTTTGAATGTTTGCTAAGAGAAATTGTTCAAAGCCGTCTTGTGTACTCTTCAATTCTCAAACAGAAGGAAAGTGCTTAAAGTTCTGCTGGAACAGCAGAGCAAAGGAGAAATTCTGCGTCCACTTTCCACAGCAGTCAGACATTTGCAGCATAGCAGTATTATGCCAAAATCCAGTGGTCTGTAAGCCTTAGCACTGCATCTCCTCTCACAGACCGCTGCTGTTGGTTCTGTCAAGGAAATGAAATAATTCCTTCCAACACCTGAAGTCTGTGCGTGTACATGACTTCCCTCTCAACAGCAGAGCTCATACGACCGGCAATTTGTGGTGAGAAGAGCAGCGGTCGGATTAAGCCTAAGAATCTGCACATAAGGACTTCCCAGCTGAGCAAGTGGGTTGCATGAGGACTGACTCTGTCATTTCTTTGACTTGGGCAGGTTTTTCTCGTTAAGCTAAGATGTGATTTTCTAGTCTGCGCGTGAATGGTGGCTTGCACGTTTTTGCCAGCGTAGTCATCGGTTTGTTCTGCTTCAGCCTGAAAAACCCAAGTTCTTCTTTTGGTGTGTGCATGTCTTGTATGGTTCTTTCTGCAGTCGTATGGGGAAAATAAAAATTGCAGTCTTTTGCTGGTGTAATGCATACAGATAAAGTAATACCTTTTCCCATGTAAGCCTTGAAATGAGCATATTTAGTTTGTTTTGGGACAGGCAGTGCATTTAGATACAACAAGGGATTTCGCACTTTTCTAGTCAGAGGAATTAAATCGGGAAAACAAAGCAAACAGGATTCAGTTTGGTGCTCAATGGAAAACTTCAGGTAAGATTAGAAATGACCTCAATGTTTTAGAGGGAGAGAAAAATTACTTCAGCATGTGCGAGTGTGAGTGGGGTTCACATAGTGCTGGGAGCCCAGGGAAGCCCACATCCCACCACAGCCACCAGCCGCCTCAGCCCATGTTCGAAGGCGCAAGACAGTTCTGTGTGTGTCAGAAATTGCAGAACAACAGGCTGGGAACTTCCCTGTTCAGAAACGTGTAATGAATATTTTACATCCTACCAACGTCTGGCCTGTTGTCAGCACACAGTGACTTACGACTTATCTCGCAGCAGGAGCAAACCCCAGCACCCACATGCTGCCCTGCCGCCCTTCGCTGGAGCCCCACGTAGGTTGGGGGATTTCTTATGTATATGAGTCTGGAATTCAGAAAGTGCCCTTTTCTGTAAATGACATTGAACCAGCAGTGAGTGTGCGTCGCCTTAGCCATACCTGGAAATGTTTTTTTTTCTACATCCACTCAAAATCTTGCTCTCCCCCATAAGGTTTAAAATGTATTTAATTCCCATTGAGAAGGGAGGCCGCTGCAGTTTGCAACTTGTTCTCGTGGAGCCCAGCTCCACCTCCCTGCCCTCTTGAGCAGCGGCTTTGCTCCGGGTGAGCGCAGAGCGCTGTCCACTTGTGTACGGGCTGCGTGCTCAAGCGTTTTTCCCCTCAACATGAAAATGGAAGAAGCAAGGACAAAACCCTTTTCATTTTCACTATTAGAAGTCCAGAGAGTCACTCTTGCTTATTTTTGCTGCAGTCTTCTAAAATTTCCTGTGTAACTTTATTGCATCTACTAAATCAGGAATCGCGGGCGCACGGGAGTTTGTCGAAGGGTTTTGACAGCCCCTCCAGCCTATTTTGGCTCGCATGAAGGGAAGGATCAGAGGGAGGAAGGAGCGGGTTGGGGGGCAAGGAAGACCCGTGGATGGCAGCACGGCAGCCTGCAGTGCAGTGACACAAACAGCCTCCCAGGCCTCTTCCCTCGGCCGCTCACTCCAAGCGTTAACGCGGAGCCACTGCAGCCAGGCTGGGCCCGGGGGGAGATGGCATAGCCTGGCCGAGCAAGATGGCATAGCCTGGCCAGGGAAGATGGCGCAGCCTGGCTGGGCAAGATGGTGTAGCCTGGCTAGGGAAGATGGCGTAGCCTGGCTGGGCAAGATTGCGCAACCTGGCCAGGGAAGATGGTGCAGCCTGGCCGAGCAAGATGGCGTAGCCTGGCCGAGCAAGATGGCGTAGCCTGGCTGGGGAAGATGGCGCAGCCTGGCCGGCAAGATGGCATAGCCTGGCCAGGCAAGATGGCGTAGCCTGGCTGGGCAAGATGGCGTAGCCTGGCCAGGCAAGATGGCACAGCCTGGCTGGGCAAGATGGCGCAGCCTGGCCGGGCAAGATGGCGTAGCATGTCTGGGCAAGATGGCATAGCCTGGCTAGGCAAGATGGCATAGCCTGGCTGGGCAAGATGGCGTTGCATGTCTGGGCAAGATGGCATAGCCTGGCTAGGCAAAATGGCATAGCCTGGCTGGGCAAGATGGCGTAGCCTGGCTGGGCAAGATGGTGTAGCCTGACCAGGGAAGATGGCGTAGCCTGGCTGGGCAAGATGGCGCAACCTGGCCGCCACCGCGGGCCCACCAGCTGTGTTGCTCCTCTCCTCACCGCCTGCTTCATAGCTTGTCTTTTCTTTTCCCGCCTTGTGCTGCAGGGTGTGAACGGAATGTCTGTGGATGAGAAGACTGAATCCCCCATGTATGTGTATGAGTCAACGGTGCATTGTACCAATATTCTCCTGTGCCTGAACGACCAGCGGAAGCAGGATATTCTCTGTGATGTGACTCTGCTCGTGGAGGGCAAGGAGTTCCGCGCGCACCGCGCCGTGCTGGCCGCCTGCAGCGAGTACTTCTTGCAGGCCCTGGTGGGGCAGACCGAAAATGACCTGGTTGTCAGCCTGCCGGAGGAGGTACAGTATGCGGCGCTTCCCAACGCCGTCCGCGCACCGGGCGGCGGGAAGGGCGGCGCGCGGCGGGAGGCAGCGCGTGCTCCTGGGGCCTCCCCACGGCGTTCTCTCTTCTTGTCGCCCTTGGGTTGCTCGCGATTTGCTGGAAGCCCTCGGGGAGTGCGAGGAGGGAAGTGGTCGCTCCACCTCCCTTGCCGGGGGCGGGAAAGCAAGACGCACCAGTGTTGCCAGCAGTCTCTGGAGCAAAGCGCTCCAGCATTTCAGGTGGCCCTTGGCTCCCGCAGAGAGGCCCCTTCATTGCGCAGGCTTCCTTCAGTGCATCAGCAGCACCCCTGTATTCCTCGGGCTCTCCCGACAGGACATGGGAAAGGGGTCACTCGGCTGCAAGGCAGCAGTGCTTGTTGAGAAGTCATTAGAGCGCTCTCGTGGTTTGGAGCCCCCTGGCTTCCCACCCTTTTCCAGCTGCTCACCTCCCTGCTTTTGCCATTCCCTTTTCCTGTGTCTCGTTCAGCCTAGCTTCCTTCCTCTTCCTCTTTGGGATTTAGCTGCTTCAGGACATGTGTTTCCTACTCAGAAGGCAAAGCTGAACATGTTCTTTCAGAAATGGGAGGTTGTTCTCAGGCAGAATGGCTCACGCAGCCGAAAGCAAAGGATGTAGAAAATACCTACCTCACTGGAAAGTTTATTTTACCACAAAATCTCGCGGGCTGATATCCACCTCCGTGTGATTTCCTCACGGCTCTAGGCCCGTGATAGCAGAGGCACCGCTGGTCACGCTGGTGGCCTTGCCACGAGGAGAAGGGAGACACGCAGCTGCTGACATACCCTCCTATCACCACCCACCCCAGGTGTCCTGTCTGAGCTCATAGTTCAAGGGACGAGGATGTCCCCAAGGGGAGCGAAGGCAGTCGGTCACTGGGAACGTTTTCTGGTGTGCAGAATGAGGTGAACATCCTCTCCAACACTGCTTGAAGCCTGCTAAGAAGCACTGCACGTTTTTAAATCACGGCAGGTGACTAAAGCATCAGGCACGTTTTTTCCCCTCTGAGTTCACTCTCCGGAGACTCCAGTGGTGTCATGACACTGTCATGGCACAAATTGGAGGGCATGAGAAGAAATAGGTCACCGGGGGTGACTTCGTGAGTCTTGACACTGAGTATTACTCATGAAGAAATTTTAAACCCAGACATTTTGCATAAGAGTTCAGATGTATCACGGCAGACACGCTAGGACGCACACTATGGTTCTGCACAGTGTCCACTAATACTTTCCAGTGGAAGAAGGTGTTTCATTCACTACTGCCTGGCTGTGGTGCTGCGAAGCAAAAGTGGGAGCAGAGAGGTCGCCGAGCACCCAGGGTGACGCACAGAGGCGTGAGGAGACAGGAGGGTGTCCACGCTGCTCTTTTGAGAGACCGCTTGGACACCTAGGGTGACACCGGTCCAGGTAGATCAAGAAATAGCCCTGAAACTCAAATAAGCAGGTAGATGTGTGAGATAGGGCAATCCCAGAATCCCAGAATCCCAGGATGCTTGAGGTTGGAAGGGACCTCCAGAGATCATCTAGTCCAACCCCCCTGCTCCAGCAGGGACACCTAGAGGAAGGGGCACAGGGTGGCATCCTGGTGGGTTTGCCTGGCTTAAAGCAGAAGAGCAGTGACGAGCGCTGCCAGCTCTGTGTAGCCAGAGGGCATGAGACAGGGTAAAAGACAGTGTCCACACGAGGATGGGCTGGTATCAGCTGGCTTTTAAAAAGTAAAGTTAGGTGGGAAAGTAGCAACTTTTGGATCATAGCAGCAGAGAGAGGCAGCCAGAGGCTGGTGTTGGAGGCAGGTGTAGGGTGGGACCCCCTTTCCAAAAGGATCATCATGTTTCTCTCGGGACTGACTCAGCGACACAGTCCTGTGTTGAAATGACAAATTGACTAAAACATAAAGATTTGTCGATATGTATGTCTTATGTGAGATACTACATGAAAAAAGTTCATCCAGTACAACCATAAATGAATCCTATTTAAGTGAATCCTTTTTAGAAAAATGAAGTGTAATTACTAGGATTTTACACTTTAAATTGTATCTCAGTGAAAGATCAAGAAGCTCTAGTGAATTAGGGTTAGATTGTCTGCTGTCACATCTCCACTGAAGTCAGTGAATTCTCAGAAGAAAATAATCTAATACTTAAGGGTTTTTTTCAGTACTCTAAAATGATCGTGCTCCACCTGAGAGCTATACTGTTATTTCGCCATGTGCCTAGATCCGTTGCAGAGCACCAAGACTTTAACTTCTTCAGACTGGAAAAGAACTCTCAGACTAAAGAAAGAAGTTACCACAGTCAGTAACATCCAGTTGTGCAGATATTTTCCACATGCAAATTCATTTCTGATAACTCCATGGAATCCAGTTTGCACAGCAACTAGTTTCCTCACAACTCTTAGTCACTTGAGGTACAGAGATCTGCCTAAAGCAGTTAGTTATTTTTCAGTTATTGCTTGGTTAAGCATCTGCCTGCTCGTGGTGCTGCCCTACTTGAAATTGCCGGGTGCTTTGGTGGGTTCCTCTGCTTTGGTATGTGAAATACCAAATACTACCAATACTGCCGAGAAGAGTGTCCAAGCCCTGCAAAAGGAATAAAAACACTCTGGTGTTTAAGAGTTGGTAAGACGGAGAGTCATTTATATTTCATTAAAATAAATTAGAAAGGCCTTTTCTAGCTCATAATCTTCAGAACTCTGGGAACATGGCATTTCAGTGGGGAGACGTGGGACACATACAGGATTGGGACTAACTGAACATCCTGGGTTTTAAACCAGTGTAAAACCTTGGGTTAAGCATTTCATGCAGTTTGAGCGTACCTTGATGTATATTAGCTCAAATCCTCTCCTAATCAATTTAAACCAACTCACTATGCAATTGTTTTTCATGTATTGAAGAGTTTTCCTAAAGTCTTTTGTGCCAGCCTAAGGAATTTGGTTTTGTACTACGTCTTTTGTTAAAGCAATATATTTAAGCGTGCAAATAAGTTCTTGGAAAAACAGCTGTGTAGCAACAAGTGCTCAGCTAGGGTCCTGGCTTGTGATTTGTCACAGCTCAGAATGGAGATAGAGCAGTAAAGTGTGTCAACTGCAGTGGGAAAGAACTAATAAACATCGTACCCCTTTAGCTGCCAGCTTTTGAGCTCTTCCCATAACGTTCAGTTTTTGCTAAATGAGTAGAACCTTGTGCATTTTTCACCTGGGGTGAAGCTACTTTACAGTAGCTTTTCCGTCTTCATCAAGCAGCTGTTGGTGACTGCAACCCAAATTATTATTTTCCAAGACCCGAGTTTTAAGCTGTAAAGTTACCCCTTGAAACCGTACCCCTAGCTGTTGTTTTGTTTTATTTAATCACAAAAACCGGTCTTCCTTCCTGTAACAAGGCACTTAATTAAGCTTTTAATTTATGATAAGAAGTTAAATGGCACTTATGAGGGTTTTTTTAATGGTTTCCACTTCCCATCCAGATTACAAAAAAAGGTGTGATGGAGAGGCACACACGGCTCTCAGCCAAGGGTACTGTAGGTCATGGCAATATTAGCTGGCAGCCGGCCATTATCCAATTAACACTGCTTCTTCCCTGCGAGGAGCAGCTCTTGAGGAGGTGATGGAGTCGTTGATGCTGTAGTGCTGCTCCAGGTTGCCTGAGCAGGAGCCGGTGCTTCGCAGAATAGGCTTTTGATGCGCTGGCATTACCTGCCTCGCTTTGCTAATGGGAGCGGGCAGAGAGCAAGTCTGTAGAGGCAGCCTAGAAGCTGGACCCTGGACAGAAGAGCAGCAAGCATCTTGCAAAGCTCTGCAAGCATCTTGCCTTGTTTTCCCAAAACTGAGGTTTCAACTAAATGGCAAGAACACTAGAACAGCAATAACAAATATCCTTGGCTGCATGAGATTCCTACAGTTTACAGATGAGAGTCCTGAGCTTAAAGAAAGGAGAAGGTGGCTGAGACATTCAAAGCTGGAATTCAGAAGCCAGCTTTTTCTCCAGACATGCATGTTTGGAATAAATTTTAGGAGAAGAGAGAACTTACTTCTAATCATCATGGATCTAGATTTCAGGCAGTCTCTCAACCGGTGAATTGTTACAATCCTCCTGACCTTGTTATTGAGATTTGCATGATGCTGCGGTATGTATTTCAAAAAACCCTTTGCAAGATCTCTGTAGCTATCAGGGCACCATATCCCTTTGTCCCTGGTTAAGCACAGGTCTTCTGAAAGAGCAGGCTTGGCTTTCTGCAGCACTGCCCTCATGCATCATTAACTGTGTCATAAAAACAAGTTGCTTCCTAGGTAGGAGCAACTGTAAACTCTTCCCTTACGTGTAAACCCTTTAATTCCTTGGATCAGGTTAAGAGAGTGGTTACTGGTGACTTTATAATGTGCAATGGACTATGTGCAAGAAATGTTCCATTCTTAGGGCAAAAGGTTTGAATCGAGCTGTTTGTGTCATCTTCTTCCAAAAGGCAAAGGGAGACATCATCTGTTTATGATGCTGCCTTTTAGAGCAGGTGGAATGCGTTTGGTGGGAGCTTTTTGTTCATCCCTCCATGTTCATCCCTTCTTGCTATAGGATAACATTCAGCGTATGCCAGCATACACCACACACCAAGCTGCATTCTTATTGTTTCCCTGCTTGCTGAAAGCTGCTGTGCAATCTGCTGTTGCCCTGTAACGTCTGGCCACATGAAATCCATCGTCTGTCTCTCGAGTTACCATGGGTTAGCTCTCTCAGACGGTTAATCCTCGAAAGGAGAAAGGCAGGACAGGGAGACATTCGGCTCCAAGGCTGGTCAAAGCGGAGTGTTTTGGAAAGTGAAGGCATCCACCCCTGGTGGGACCGGGCCAGGCATCTACATTTGTGCAGTTCTCAACTGACAGAGACAAGGAATTCTGGCAGCTGTTAACCATCCCTGCCAACCCGCTAGTCGGAGGAAAAAAGGCTGGGAATTAGCTGGCAAAAGATGGTTGGGTTC